AATAGCATATGTGGTTCCATTGGAGGACATTAGGACTTATCTAACTATTGTCCAATCGATAATCTATCTATTGTTAACAATGTCTTTAAGTCAACAAATTCTAACATCCTATCTTAAATTATATAACTTACTGTCAGACAATCAATACCATTTTTGATCTTCTCATTCTACAGATGATTTGCTTACTGTTATGATTGAAAAGTTTTACTGTGCGTAAGATGGAGGTGACAAAGCAAGAGCTATTGCTCTTGATATATCTAAAGCTTTCAATAAAGTTTGGCGTGTGCAGGTCTTCTTGATAAACTTGCTTCATATGGTGTATCTAGGAAAGAGTTTATCAAACTATTTCTTTCTAACCACTTTATTAAAGTTATCCATGAAGGCCAATACTCTTTATTTCCTGTAATTTCTGGGGAACCTCAAAGTTCTATCCTTGGTCCTGTTTTGTTTTTATCTACATTAATGATCTTCCTGACAACCTCACATACTTCTGTCTTGACAAAAAGCCTTTTACTTGTGATCACCTAAAACAGATAGCTGAGTCTAGTTGATAATAGTAAAAAATAATTTAATTATTAAATTTGTTGCTCTCACATTTGGGATTAGGGAACAAAAAGTTTTGTGCTTATTTGTTCACAGGCTCCAATCATCACAAGTTTTTGCAAACCATCCTTATTTGACGTAAGTATGAACATATAAATATTTGGAGTTTGTCCCATGTCTGGAAGTTAGCTTACAGACAATTTCAGAGGCGGATCCATTTTTTGATCTAAAAGATCAAAAAATGCTGGATCTGCCTCTATGCTGTCATATTTAGGCTAGTTCTTCTAATGACGGTCTTTCTCCTATAGACAAGGTAAAAAAATGGATTGTAAATGTAGTTGGACCTGTTTTTTCTGCCAAGTGTGAACCTCTCTCTGATTGTTGTAAAGTTGAATCTCTTTTTCTTTTTTCTACAAATACTATCATGTTTGTTGCTCAAAGTAGCTATCATCTTTAGTTCCATCAACCAAAACTCTATCTTGCTAGACTAGTCATTCAGCAAAGTTACATTTATTTAATGTATCTGTCACTGCATGCTCTAAAAACTTTTATTTGTCTAGTTTTTTTCTCTGCACATCAACCATTTTGAACTCTCTCCCATCTTCATGTTTTCTTGACTAATATAACCTACAACTTTTCAAGTCTTATGTCAATCGTTTCTTTGCTCTTTAACTTTATTTTTTGTTCTTTAGTAACTCTCAACCTAATAGTGGTTGCTTGCAGTCTTGTTAGGAATAAATTAGAATAAAAAAACAACAACTGGAAAGTCATGGTTCATAAAGGTTAAAAAATGTTTGCCTATTCAATTTTATTTTAGACATCAACCATGGTGTCTATAATAAAACTAAAAGTACTTCAGATCATTTCATAACTCTAAAAGACCACAAAAAAACTTTCGAAATAAACCCACTGTCTGACTTATTAATCCTAATTGAATGAAAACAAGTTAGAAGAGTTTTCAAATCCATTTCATCCAACAACAATTCTTAGCTGAAAAACAAACTTTTTTAGAACCAATGGCAAAGTACCCAGAATGTTAAACATTTTGAACAAAACACTCAGAATGTTAAACATTGTGAACAAAACACTCAGAATGTTAAACATTGGTTTCAAAATGTCAAAGAGTAGTATTTTTATACATTTTTTGTTGAAATTCAAGGTTTATATTCATCAATTAATGAAAATCTACAAAAAATAAAACAGAACTACTTGCAATGAACCTTTCTTCTCCTTAAATATCTTGAAACTAATGAAAATGCTCTTCTGCCATCTCAAGTTTATCCATTCTTAAACATCCAAATTTTAATGCCTCATCTTGAATCTAACAACTCTTTCTCCTGCAGGCTTGTCAATGGTTATAACTAAAAGGTTCTATTGTCCATTTGATGGAGATGATGAGGCTCATTTGATCGAGGGGTTGATCACTCTTAACATATCAAAGGTTTTTGACATATCCATTTTGATTTTGTTGTCTTATTTAGGCTTGTTCTTATAGTGTAATCCTCTCTTTTTTAAACAAACTTCAAAAATCCATTGTAAATGTTATTAGTCCTGCTCTAGCTGCCAAGCTTAAGCCTCTGTTACATTGATGTAAGTCACTGTTGTAAGTACCATTGTTGCATTGTCATTGTTGTAAGTACCATTGTTGTAAGGTCATTGTTGTAAGTACCATTGTTGTAATATTATTGTTAAAGGAAATTGAAGTTAAATCTTTTTACTTGAGTTGATTTTTCATGCTCAAAAAACTTTTTTTCATAGTTTTTTTTCTCAACCATTTGGGAATTTTGCCTCTTTTCATATTTTCCTATTTTATACAATTTACTTATTTAAGTTTTTAAATCTTCTGTTAACCATTTTTTTGTTCTTTGACTTACTTTTTGCTTTCTTTTAACTTTAAATTAGTGGTTGCTCGCGGTGTTGTTATGAATTGGGAGTTTATTTTAGTTTTTGTTTTAAGCACCCCAAGAAGATAGAGGAATCGCTAAGGAAGGAGGTGTAGACTTACCAATATTACTATTATTTTTTAACTGTTTGTAACTGTGCCTAACTTTGTACATAAAACTATTTTAAAGAAAGGAAAGAATGAGTGTCATAAAGATATATATATATATATATATATATATATATATATATATATATATATATATACATATATATATATATATATATATATATACATATATATATATATATATATATATATATACATACAATTCATACATATATATATATATACATATATATATATATATATATATATATATATATATATATATATATATATATATATATATATATATATATATATATATATATATATATATATATATATATATATATATAGCAGTAATAAATATAATTTTTTGGTAGACAGTGCTTGATACAAAAGTAGAGCAAATATATATTATATTAGAATAATAATTAAGTACAATTAAATTTGTAACATTACTTGGAATTTCACGCTTTATGCGATTACCAGACTAACGTCTGGTAACGTTACAATTAACCATAACAACAACAAAAATTATATACAAAAATGCAATGCAGATGTTAAAGTTGCAGATAACAAATTTGTTTTCGTGGCAACATTTTGATATTAATTCATTTCGTTTATTCAATAGTTTCAAAAATAATGTAGATGATAGTTATAAAGATAAGGATTTTTCCGTTAAATAAAATGGTAATAATGGATGAATTGACCAATCCTTTTCTCTTTATGCTTCAGCCAATATCATTGTTGTTGGTGACTTTAATGGTCATCACACTGAATGGCTTGGCTCTCGTGTCAGTGACTCTGCAGGCATTAAAGCCCAAAAACTTTTACTTTTCTCAATCTTTAACACAAATAGTCAACTTTGCACTCATTTTTCATATAATTTATATCATTATTCTCTAATTGACTTGTGTCTTGTTTCTGATCCTAGTAAGTGCTTAGATTCTTTATAGGTGCTTTGAATCACAGTTTAATCTCTCAAAAACTATTATCTTATTCTTCTTCATGATCAGAATTCTCGTATCATTGTACCTCTTACAACTACTTTAAAGCTGACTGGGACTCTTTCCGTGATTTTCTTTGTGATGGCTCTTAGGTAGAAATAGAGTCTTGTATTTTATCTCAAAAGTTAGGCTCTGTTATTTCTTATAGATTCTCCAAAAGTTAAGAGACTTTTGGAGAATCTTTAACAGTGTCTTATTTAGTAGCAAATCTATTATTTTACCTCTCTTGCATGGTTAAGATATTGTTAGCTCACCTAAAGGCAAAGCTAAATAGTTTGCTAAGAACTTTTTATCAATTTGATCTCTTGATTCCACTAATCACAACCTATCTGATATAGCTGACAAATAAGTTGATTAATTGCTTGACATTTATATCACTCCAGCTTCTCTATCTAAAGTGATTTCCAGCATAGACTCTTCTACAGCTTGTATTTTGGACAATATACCTGTTACAGTCTTGCAGAAGTGTCCTCTGGAGCTGTTGTCTATGCTTTCAAAACTTTTTAACAAGTGCTTATCAGAGTCTTGATTTCCAGCCTGCTGGAAAGCGGCATCTGTTATCCCTATTTTTAAAAAATTCTTAAGTGTGATTTTACTTGTCTAATTACTGTCCCATTAGTCTTCTTACTATCATAAGTAAAGTTTTTAAGTCTTTATTTAACAATCACTTAATCTCTCATCTTGAATCTAATAACTTTCTGATCATCAGTATGGATTTCAATTTTCTTGTTCTACTGTTGATTTGATAATGGTAATAATGGTGAAAGCGCATTGTAAATGCGCTTTCACCATTATTACCATTATCAAATTATTGTAATTGGACCTGCTCTTGCAGCCAACCTTCAACCATTATCACTTCGTTGTAATGTTGCTTCTCTTTCTCTTTTATATAAATATTACAATGGACACTGCTCTAAAGAGCTAGTGTCTCTTGTACCTCCTACTTAAATTCATTCTCATGTGACTCGTTATTCAAATAAGTCTCATCAGGATGACACAATTAGAGGACTCTTACTGTGACTATTTCTAAGTGTTTCAAATATTCTTCTTTGTCAGTTTTTTCCCCCCGAACATCAGTTCTTTGGAATTCATTCACTTTATCTTGTTTTCCTGATTCATATAATTTTCAATCTTTTAAATTGTCTCTTAATCATTATTTTGCTTTATGAAGTTAATTTTTTTTTCTAGCAACTTCCGTATTGTATATATATATATATATATATATATATATATATATATATATATATATATATATATATATATATATATATATATATATATATATATATATATATATATATATATATACATATATTTATTTATATGTAGAGAGAGAAATATAATGAGGGAGACCATTGTTTATACGGAATGTTCAGTTTAAATAATCTTATAATAAAATGTTTATTATTTATTTAACATTTTATTTAACATTTTTACAACATTTAAGTAACAGTATTACAATTTTGTTTTCATTTCATGTTTTATTTTTTAGGTTCTGGAGTATATCCTGTAAAAAAGTATGAGTTTTAATAATATTTTTAAAATATTTTTTGAATCTTTATTTAAACCATTGTTTGTGAGTTTGAATTATTGAGAATCAATAATCCAAATAATATAGTAAAAATCCAATAATGTATTAAGAATTTTGGAGTATTAAGAATATATTTTAAAAATTGTGTTGCTGAAACATTTTTAACACAAACTTTTTTTTTTCGACAACTAGATTTTTTTACTAATTTTTCAATTTAACTCCAGTGTCACTCTGTACAGTTTACCAGAGATTGTTTTTTTGGAGATAATGGGTTAAGTAAAAAAAAAAAAACTTTTATCAGAACTTTGAAGATGTTTTGGTATATGACCTTTACTGAGTTACACAATGAGTTTTCAATTTTATCATCATTTTTTTAATTATTTTTTTTATTATATATTATTCTTAATTCTTTTTTATTTTAGACTATTTCACTCCCAACAAGGTTGCAAACAACCATTATTAAGTTGGAAGTTACTAGAAAACAACAAAATAGTGTCATAGATATGGGCCAGCCTGTCTTTTGGAGGGCTGGCCCAATTATGATGGCAGTGTTTTGTGTAGAAACAAATATTGAATTTGTGAAGGTAGAAAATGAAATCTGGAGTAAGAAAATGGGGGGCGCAATAGAGTAAAGCAACCTTAGTAGATGCTAAATTTGCTATTGGTTTATATGTAATTTTGAATTTATATTAGGGTGACAAATAAATGCATTAAAAAAAAATTTTTTCTTTTTTATGCTCTCAACTTTTTATTTGGTTCTATTTAATGAAAAAATGATATTGGGAAATTTTTAATGCAATATGTTAATGTTTAGGGGTTGCCCAGCCAGTTTTTTAATTTTACAAGATTGCTTGAACGCACAATTTTTATATTTCTCATAACTTATCACATCTATTCTCTTAATTATGTTGAGAATATTATCTATATTTTATTATTTCCTTGATCATTATGCCTAATACACTTTGCTATTTATTTATTTTTTAACTAATAAGTTAAAAATAAAAAAAGTTAGCAAAAACATTCACAAAATCCACTGTAATACTTCATTATCCACTTAAGTTATTGCATCAGTATTATACTACTGCCGAAATTAGTGCATCGTCCTGTAATTCCAAATGAGTTCGTTTCTTGAATGAAAATACATTTTAAAAACACACAATTTGATAGATATTTTCAAAGTTGATTTATAATGGAGACTAGAATTCAAAATAAAGTATGAAGAAAAGGCTACATGAGTTCAGTTAATTGTAAATTGTTCAAACAAGAACAGCATATTTTAAACAGAAAAAAAGCAAAAACGAAACGAAATGAAAATGAAACGAAATCGTGAAACGAAAGAGAAACAAAAGAGCTAAATAGAAAAGAAAAAAAAACATGTTCAACAGTCACAGACCCAGTTTTGACTGAATCATACTTCTCTCAGGGTACTGATAATGAAGTAGATGACTTTGCTCCATCAATAGCAAAAAAAACTGAAAAAGTAAAGAAATAAATAATAAAAAAGTGATTACTCAGCATTTTTTTCAGCTCTTGATTGTTTGAAAATTCAGAATTGTTCTGGTTCCTTGGTTTTGTCTATAATTTGTCAAGGGTTAGGTGCCAATATTGAACATGTTTCAACATCATATGAATCTCTTCGATGTGCAGGTATTGAAAGTTGTAAAGAAGTTGCAAAAAAAATCATTTTAGAATTCAAGCCACAAGTTCCATTAACTGTTCATTGGGATGGAAAATTGTTACCTGATTTGAACAGCACAGATAAAGTAGATTGACTGCCTATATTAGTGACAGGATATGATTTAGAAAAACTATTGTCAATCCCAAAACTGGATAGATGTACCGGTGAATAAATGAGTTATGCAACAGAACAAGCTTTAAAAGATTGGAACATTTCATATGACAAAATTGTGGCACTCTATTTTGATACTACTTCAAGCAACACACGCATACATTGTGCTTGTACCTTGCTGGAAAAATTAATTGGAAAGTCTTTATGATACATAACCTGTCACACCACATTCATGAAGTGATTTTATCCTATGTTTACAAAACTTGCTTCTGTTCCAGAGGTCAAGTTTCTACAATTTTGTGATCAGTGGAGTAATTTCAATTCTGAATCTTGGCTCTTAACTGATGCAGATCTTAAAGTGTATGGTTTGCTTGTACCATCAGCAATAGAATTTTGTGTAAATATGCTGCTAGGAACAAAACAATCTCGTTATGATTACAAAGAATTTTTGCAATTGTCAATAATTTTTTTAGGAAAAACTTGTCCAGGTCTAGGCAAAATAACCTTTTGTACTCCTGGTGCTATGCACCAAGCACGATGGGTGCTAATAGCGTTCTACTCTAATAAATTATACTTATTTTGACATCAATTTCATTTAACAAAGAATGAAGAAAAGAATCTTCTACAATTTTCAATTTTTTTTGAATTTTTTCAATTTTGATTTACATGGAACACTGGTTTCAGGCTCCCATCTCTTCATCTGCTCTTCACAATGATCTGACACTGATTAAGAAGTTGGATAATTTTGAAATATTTGACTGAATCTGCCATAAAAGCCATTGCAGGACATTTATGGTATTTAACTGAAGACCTTGTCTTCAGTTAAATACCATAAAAGTCTCTCTTTTTTGCGTAATGATGTTGATAACCAAACTAAAGAAAAAATGTTGATTGTACTTGAAAAGCCAGCTAAAACAAGAAAAAAGGCAAACGGTAAACAGGTAAACGATTAATGGATACAAGTGTAAAAATGAACTTAGATGACTTTGTAAAAAATAGATCAAAATATGTACTTGAAGTGCTTGGAATAAATTGGACATTTATGAAGGATCATTGCCTAGACACATGGAGTACAGTAACCGAATACCAGAAAGTATACAAAATATTAAACTTTTTGAAAGTTGTGAATGACACAGCCGAAGGAGGGGTGAAACTTGTTTCAGATTACATAAATATCTTGACAAAAGATGAAACTCAATTACAATATGTTTTACAAACTGTGGAAGAACATCGGCGTCAAATTCCAGATATGCCAAAGTCCACAATTGTGAAGGCATTAATGAAAGCAATCAACAAGTGAAAACTAACTTTGAATTAAATAATTAAAACTTTGCATCCAAAAAAAAATTAAAATACATTCATTTTTATTTTCCGTTGACTCTAAAAATCTGATAATATCAAGTTCATTGAGCAACCCCTAGATATCAAAACATTATAATAATTTTTTGCGCAGTTTATTTTTTAGTTAAAAGGAACACAATAAAGGGTTGAAAGTCCAGTTTTGAACACTTTTTTGTTTATCACCCTAATGTATATGTAATTTGTATATGTAATTTACATAAGAGGATATGTAATTTACATAGAGGAATGGTAATCTAAAAAGGCTTAGTGGAAGACTCAGGAAAAGGGTTTGCCATTCATTAATATAGGAATGTCAACAATGTTGTGATGGTTGTTTTCAGTAAATAACTGAGCTTTGTTGAAGTTAAAATTTTCAAAAAACTGCAAATCCCAGGCTGTCACAGAAAAGAGATCAGATTCAAGATCAGCTGCCTGTTCCATTTTCCATGCAGGAAAACAAGAATCAATCAAGCACTCATTAAATGAATTTTAGAGAACACTTTTATAAAACTATGACAGGAATGTTGTATGGAAGCCACAGAAGAATTAAACTGAAAAATTATTTTAGCATAGAAAGCCAGAAAGAAAAGTTCTTTGCAAATAGTTCTGCCTTATCCTTGGGAAAGGTAATATGATCAGACCCATGAATTACAGATAGAATATTCAACTTTCGTTAATTATGCAGTTAAAAAGTTTCCAAAAGCCTCTAGAATCTAACTTCTGAAATAAGTCATTAGATTTAGTAAACTGGAAAGTTAGCATCAGACAGCACCTTTTTAATTGATTTCTTGCAACAATAAAAAGATATTTTTCTCACAAGAGATGTTCTTGTTAAAAAGATGGAAAAAATGATTACAAAGATAAAAGAGAAAAGAAAAAGCCTAAGGTCCATCACAAAGAAAAGAATTCTAGTTAGCTTTAGAGTAGTAGTGCAATAATAGGGTGAGTCCAAGTCTTTCAGTGTGATGAGCATTAAAATTGCTTATAACAACAATATTGATAGAGTGATAAGAGAAAGGACTTGATCACTTTGTTTAAAAATAACATGTAAAAGAGTGCTGTCTTAAAAAGAAGGAAAATGATGAAGAACAAAAAGAAAAGTGATTAAGTAAAAAGGTGCTAAGTGACAGCACATAAAAGAGTATTTGGAGGATTCAAACCTGATTTACCCTGACTTACCCCTAAAGTATTTGCCTTCGAGGCTTTTTACAGGACCAAAGAACCAAGAGCCCCGAGGTAATCAAATTTTAAATCAAATTTAATTTTTCCTAGCTTATGCCTATAAAAGTCAATCTTTCAAGGCAGCAGGACATGGTGCATATAGTACTGGGTTACCTGTTACCAGTAGCAGAGTGATCATGTTGATTCTGAACCTGACTTGATGTGGAATGGTTAAAAGAATTTGTTTCTGTAAGCAGTATTTTAAAGCATTGAATAGAATATTTTCGAAATCCGTTAGGAAAAAAAGTTGTAGTTACTAGTTGGTAACTGAGCTAACCAAAGTTTCAAAGGGACACAAGCTCACATTTAGTATTTTACGGGTGAGCTAACACTGTAACAGAGGTTTGCACAATGCTGTAAGAGGTTTGCACAGCTAAGGCTTTAACAGAGGTTTGCACAGAACATAAACATACACGCAGTAACTAATAGGTAAGTGAATACTGCACCAGTAGTTCAAATAGAACACAAATATGCACGTATAGTAAAATATGGGTGAGCTAACACAGTAACTAATAATAAAAATAATAAAAATAATCATAATAATAGTAAGACACATTATGTAACAGACAAAAATAGGTATTACCATAGTCATAGCAGATATTAGATAGATAACAGAAAGTTCACTTCTCTAGACTTTTTTTACTTTTACTTATTTACTTAATAATGAATATTTTGGATATTGTAAACACATATCTACCCAACATCTGCTTTACTTACCAGCAATAAAAAAAAAAAAGAAGCGAAAAAAGGTTAACTTATTAGCATTACATTACATTGTCATTTAAAAATCCTTTGAATACAATGTTCAATAGTAGCTATATAATTCATTAATTTAAAAGGTGCACCAATGCATCGGTGCACCCACAATTTGATTATGGGTTATTTTGAACTTTTATATAATTTTGTTTTGTTTGACATCCAGCAAGACATTTTGAAAAACTTTTTTTTTAATATATATGTGTGTGTATATATATATATATATATATATACAGGCTTGGACAGGAATGGTGTGCGATCGAGCGCTTTTGTTGACTATGCAAATGGTTTTATTTTTTGACAACTTGACCACGATTGTTTATATGTTTTAATGATTTAAACATTTCAGAAATGCAGTAAATGTAGAAACGCTAAGCTAAACTTAAACTAGAAAAAAAAGTTAAAAAAAAAAACTATCGAAAAAAAAATTCCCAACAAAAAAAGAAAAGCAAAAAAATTTATTACGAAAAAGAAATTATATAAGCACTAAAATAAAAAAAAATTGAACTCGATGCAAAACATTTTGTTACGTATTTAATTGAAATAAATTTTATTAAAACTTAATGTTATCCAAAACGCTTTTAAATTAAGTAATAAATTACTTCTATTGATTGTTTAATAAATGATCAAATTTTATCAAATTTATTTAAAAAGTTTTGTATATAATGTTGTATGTAATTTTTAATAATTTTAAGCTTTAATTAGTAAGTTTAGTTAAAAAAAAAGGTTTAAACTCTTTTTATAAGGGAAAAAAAAAATAACGAAATGCGTCTGCGATTTAAATAAAATAAATCGCCAACAAGCAATTTAATTTGAGCATTACAACTTTATTAATAAGCACTTCACGTAACAAATTTAAAAGTTATTATAAAAAATTTAAACTCATTCATTCCTATCCTAATAAAAAAAAAACTTTCAAAAAATATAATTTTTTTAAAAGATTTTTATTAATATTTTTTATTAATATTAAACTTTTTGTATAACATGTATATGTATATATGTATATACATATATGTATACATATATGTATATATATATAGGGGTGCATTGATGCCTTCTTTCGTCCAATGTTGATGGCAATTGGTAAAAGCCAATTGGCATCAACATTGGTTTTTTTTACTAATAGGTACATTAGAATTTTTTTTAATATAATGTTAAATGTCAACTTTGATGCTAGCTTATTTGCTAAAGTTTGCTTAATTTTTATACTTGCTAGGCTATATTCTAGAAATTAAAGTTAAAAATAAAATTAAATTGAATTAAATCAATTGCAAACAATGTGCAAAGCAATTAAAAGTCTAATAGACTATATTGATATAAATGAAAATAAATGTTCAAAACAATTTGTAAATTTTGAAAAATAAAAAGAAAAATACAAGAGCATAATTTTTTTGTTTGTTTGTATCTCACATTGCAGTTACATTTCTTGATTTTAAATTTATCTCTTTATATAGTTTGAATCCATAAGTTGTACAATTGCTTTCCTAAATTATAAAAAGACATTAAATGCAGGAAGATCCTGATAAAAAAACAGTTCAAAAATTATTTAAAAGTTTAGTGCTTATATATTAATTTAAGCTTATACATGCATTTTTGTTTATAGATAATTGTATTATTGCATACAATGTAGAAACAAATAGAGGTAAAAAAACTGATTTTGTAAAACAATCAACATTGCTTAATGGTTACCAAGACCGATGTCGATGCACCAGCTTAAAGAATAATCATTTTAAAAAATAATTTAAAAAGCAAAAACTAAACTAAGAAAATTGTACTTTTTAACCAAAAACTCTTTTAATTTTTGGTTAAAATTTTTAAATAAATCATTTTCTTAGCAGTATAGTCTGAAATGATAATTTTTTTTTAAATGATTATTATTTTTGAAACTTTTATATAATTTTGCTTTTTTTGACACAACAAAACATGATTTTAAAGAACTTTTTTTTTTAATTATTAAGGACCTATTAAATGCTCATAAACTTTTAGGGGCTCTAGAATAGTTTTTATAATTTGGGAAAAATTTTTTTATATTGTACACAGATACCATAATGGGAAAAAATAATTATGAATAATTAGTTTTTTTACTGAATACATATCGTAGATGTGTTTTCTTGTGTAATTACTGAATAAATTTCTTAATTTTGCAGTAATATTAAGTTAGTAGAACTACGTATATATACAAACAAACTTTTTATTACTAAATATATATTTTAGACAGGTCTTGTTTGTGTAATTACTGAATGTTGTTTCTAATTTTGTACAAAAACTAACATAATTATATGAATACATAATTATTTATTTTTTTTAAATAGTTATGTTTAAATAAATTTATTATATAAATTAATAAAGAATTTTAATTTTTTTAATTTTAGAGAAGGTAAAATAGAATGGATATCAGTAAATGAAAGTTTATCAAAAGAAAGCAAAGTAAGTGTAATGACACAAAATACAAGGAAGATAAAATATGAGAAGGGATTTCACATGGTCTTAACTTATTACTGTGATATGTTTTTTAATAATGTGAGAAGTCATGTGAGAAAAAATTTTTTATGTGTCTCTGATTGACACAAATAATAATAGTTTTTATCAAAATATCCCCACTTTACACAACTAATTGGAAAATTGTGCTTTAAATTTTCTTACCTTGTTAGTCCTTTTGTATAGGAGAAATTGTTATTGCTGTTACTATATTACTTTTATTGTACTTAGCAATAAAAGTTTTATTGTTTTGTATATAAAACCTTTATTGTTAATGCATCTTCTATACATTATAGCATTTAAAATAATAATTGGTTGTGCGATGATTTAGTTATTTCTGAGGCAAAGTTGCCGCCTAGAAAAACACAAGAAAATTCACAATTAAGAAGATGTTTTTTTTTTCAATTTTGTTTACTTTATATGACAGTAAAGGTCAGTGTCAAATCAAACTTGATTGAGGAAAATTCAAAACCAACGTATTGAATAAATTCCTCATGAAATGTTGTTAAAAATTGACTGAATTATTAATTTCAGGAAACAGATTTCTAATGCTGCTGCATTAAATTCCTTAAATTAAAATAAATAACTGAAATAAAAGAGCATTTTACTTCTGTATTGAAGTTGTAAAATAGTTTTTATATTAAACAAAATTTCTTTATTCAGATGTTTAAACAAAGTTTAACATCCTCACTTGTGTAGTGTTTTTGTGGTCCTGATATATGGTTTAGATAAGCTTCTGTAATGCCATTTTCTTAGTTGAATAAACATTATGAAAAAGTTAAAGCAACCTTTTACTCCCTCCCCTGCTCTGTTATAAAAACAGTATAAAGTCAGTGTGTAAGATGGGGCTATAAAATAAACTTATTATAAAAGTTTTTATGTTAAAGTTTTGCTTAAAGTGTTAGAACTTGTTTATTTTTTTGCATTTTTTTAATTAAGTATCTGAAATATTAGGCATCATCGGATTCGCCTTTATATATATAACAGAATACAATCGAGTCCTAATTTAACATAAATAATAGTTTATAAAAAATATTAGGATAATTTAACTTTTTTTTTTAATACAACAAATCAATTGTTTTACTTTTGGAATAACTTTGATTTAAATAAAATAACAAGGGGGAAAACTAAGATTTTTTTTTCAAATAAAAAGAAAATTACTACTTTACAACAAGAAGGTTGTAATAAGTTGAAACAGTCAAAAGTGTTTAATATTATCAAAACGCAGCGTAAAAAGTAATTAAACATTCCACTAAAGCTGATTTTAGTTATAAGTTGAAACAAAAATATTGTTAAAAATATTGTTAGGATGCATATTTAGTGTAGTTTTAATCAGAAACAAATTTGTTGAATGGTTCATTTTAAATCTTTTATTATATGTTTATTCAATGTAGATTAAGTGTTTTCAATATCGAGATAATTATATATTCAATAATTAGACAATATTGACAATATTTTCAATTTTGATATATAATCTTTATAGGTCTTTACAAATAGCTGGTGTAAGAATAAAAAAATAAAGAAAAAGTAAACAAACAAGAAAGAAAAGAAAAAAAATAAACAATTTTATAGAAAATAGAAACACATACCAAAAAGAATTAGAAGATTAGTTTTTTGTGTGTGTGTTTTGATTTGTAATTATTATTTGTTACTATTATTATTTATATTTATATTCACATTATATTTCTATTCTTTACTGTTAACATAATTCATTTTAGTTCTAGATATGTAAGATTTTTTTTTTCATATTTCAAACTTAAATAAATAGTTTGAAAAAGAAATGTTACAGAATTTTTTGGAAAAATATATGTCTTTACGAACATCAGTTTGGTTTTTGTAACAAGCACTAATAAGCTCGTTAATAAAAATAACAGAGGAAATTAGTTTTTTTTCACTCTTATCTTAGATTAGACTAATTTTTTATGTTTAAAAATTTTTTTTGATATATATATTGCACCTTAAGTAATTTTGTGGTATTTTTACTTTAAATTACTGAAAATAAACAACAATAAATCTTGCATTGGTAACTATAATGTATTAAATATGTTAAGTAAGACTAAGAAATAAAAGCTTGATATACTTTATAATAATAATGATAATAATAATAATAATAATAATAATAATAATAATAATAATAATAATAATAGTAATAATAATAATAATGATAATAATAATAGTAATAAAAGGACTGATAAACTATAGCGTTGTAAATGAGGTTTTAGATAAAAAGTCAACTTAAAGCTAATACAATAAGTAATATATAAATTTACTTCTTTGTGACATTTTTTAAAGTTTCAATACAGAACTAGCTCAGAATATAGGGTAGCAGGTACCATATATATTTTTTATATATTTTTTAACTGTCAAAAGATATTTGATAAAACCTGAACTCTGAAGCTGTTCCTTTAAAAAAACCAGAACCAAGGAAAAAAAAGAAAAAACTTATTTATCAAAGGAACACCAAAATTGGCAAAATAATATTGGAAAAAAGTGCTATGAACCAACAAATCTATTTTTTAATTATTTGGATATAACTGACTGCAGTTCATAAGATATAGAAGAGTGCTATAAACAGTGTTATAAGATTACTATTAATCATGGTCATAATAGTATGTTTTGTAAAAACAATAAAAGTCATGCATAAAATACATAATACTAAATACATACTAAAAATTAATGTATTAAACTATAATACATTAGTTTTTAAAAAATAGTATATTAAACTATATATTAATATATCTTTAAAATAAATATTTTTTTAATTTAGAGCATAATTATTAATTAAATAAAGAATAATAAAAAGATTCAAAAAATTTAAAATAATCTTAATTTAACACTTATTCTTAGGATGTTAAAGATCGGATTGTTTCAATAGCAATTGGTTCTCAAGGGTTTGGTTGCAAGTATGTTGTTTCTCTGCTTCTGATTTTGCAATATTCATTTTAAACTACAAATGTGTACATTTTTAGTTTAAAACATTTAAGAAAATATACAAGCTCTAACTATAATCACATGATAGCAAAAATATTTAGATTATAAAACTATAGAAGAAATTATAGACTTTATATATAAAGGCAACAACAAAAACACCAACAACAATAATAATATTAATAATAATAATATAACAAGATTAATAGTAGCAAGAGTAATAAATATAACTATCTTGGTTCCTAAAAGCTGAAGTATGCCTAGTAGGCCAAACATATCAACTTGCTTCCATAAAATACTTTTTTAATTTTGTCTTTATGAATTTTCTATGCTCATGTAGCAAAATGCATCTACTGGATGCAAACAGCCTGTTGATGCCGTTCAAATTAAATTTTCTATGCTAATTGTTGCAAAATCCATCTACTGGATACAAACAGCCTGTTGGTAAATTAAATAATTGCTCTTTAATTATGGTTCGTTATTCCTTTATTCATCAATAAAATGAACTAAAATATAAGTTAGAGTGACCTATGCTTTAATACTTGTATGACTAAATTTGGAAAGTTCAAGAACATTCTAAAAATTTTAGAAAGTTTCATAAAAGAACTAAAGGGTTCTTAAAAGTTCTAGAGTATTCTAGAAAATTCTTGGACCTTCTAAAAAATTCTAGCAGTTTAGAATATTTTAAAAGAATGTTCAGTATTTCATACAAATCGAGTACTCTCTTGAAAATTTCAAAATATCATTGTCCTGGTCACACAAGCAAAATTTTAATGGAACAACATATTTTCTATTATATTATACTTGTTTTTAATAATACAGTTTAGAAAAACCCAATTTAATTCCAAGAACAAAACAAACAAAAAGCTAGATAATTTAATATAGGGTGATGTCACTCAAACAGATTAAAGAAGTGACATCAATTAAGATTGTTATAATATTTTTTTATATTTATTTTATTTTAATTTTCAACTTTTTATAATATAGTTACATTTAATTTATATACTTATATTTAACTGATTGATTCTATTATTTACAGCTATTATCATTATATACATACATTTTACATCTTTAAAATTATTACCTATGTATTTAACCAATTCCATTGTTTACAAATATTATCATTAAATGCAAATATTTCAGTTGTTACAACCCTTTTAAGTACCATAAGTTATTACAGCGATTCTATTGTTTACAAACTTCAACATTAAGACATTTAGTTCAGATATTGTTACAAACCTGTGACAATAATTTTTTATGAGAATAGGACTAACAAATTTTAATTGAATAGCAATTATGTAATTTGAATGGCTTCAAAAGGCTGTTTGCATCCAGGGAATGCATTTTTTAAATAAGTGTGGACATTTTATAAAGACAAGATCTAAAAGTTATTTTATGGAAGTAAGAGAATTTGTAAGGCCTACAAGGCATACTTCATCTTTTGGGAATCAAGACAGTTAGTTATTATTCTTACTATTATTAATCTTGTTTTATTATTATTATTATTGTTATTACTAGCAGTAAGCAATCCGTAATACGGGTTGTTAGTAAATAAAATTAAAAAAAAACCTGCATGTAGAAAAGCCTAGAAACTACTTTAAAATATAAAAGCCTAGAAAATGACGTAAGTCGACTATTAACTACTACTATTAAATTAGCGTATTAATATTATCAGATTATTATTATTATTATTAATATTAATCTTGTTATTGTTGTTGTTTTTGTTATTGTTATTGCTATTATAATAGTCATAAGAAATAGATATTCTGGTAGTCTGGTCACTTGGACTGTATTATGTATTTTTACTGTAATTTTTAAATATTTGTTAAAAACACTTGAAAACTGTTGAATGGTCAGGAAAAGAGTGCACAAAGTTTGGAAATGGAAAAAGTGTTCAATATTGAATTTGATATTGAAACATTATTTTTTTCTTTGGAGGATGATTCTCTTTTTGAAGATAAAAATTTTAATAAAGATTTAGACGTCTTGGTGTTGGAGTTGTCTAGTGAACCAGTTAAAAGCACATTTTTTTGCACAATTTGCTCTAAAAGTGCATATCTTAAAGGCCTTACCAGGCATACAACCAACCATAGCTAATTTTAAAGCTAATGGCAATGCATAAAAGTTTTATCCTCAATTTTACAAAGATATTAATCATGATTGAAATCTTTGTAAAATTGACATATTGCTAATTAAAAGTTATTTTTCAAATTAGATTGTTAATGAAAAATTTTCATTAACAATCAACAACAACAAAAACAACTAGATTACTTGGCTATGAGCTATGCAATCACATTTTAGTATTTCTTACAAACTTATTTTACAATAATTCTTTTGAAAATTTAAATGAATTTTTGTCTGTTAAACTTTCAGGTAGAGATAAAGAATTAATCTTGCATCTAAGTGGTTATGTATTCAGTAAATTTTACTGCAGAGTTCGCAGTTTGCAGTTATGGCAGCAAAAGTTAAGCACAGACTGCTTTTCACTTGTTAATGCTAGTAAAATAAATTTTTTTTTTAAGAATCCTAAAACATTCATTGAGTCTTATTATAAATTTGTAAATGCTAAAAATTAAGGTGGTTGGTGGAAAATGTCTCCTCCAGTTTTAGAAATCTTTACTTTAAAAGTTGAGGTTCTTTTTCACCAACAAAGTAATGGTTTTGTAAAAAAGTTGATTCAGAACTGATTCTAACTGAAATTTTATAAAGAAGATGCAATTTGTACAAGCACTTCATAGTCAAACAATCAATAAAAATAAATTTTGTGCACTCTGTGGTGGACTGGACATTAAAAAAATGCAAAAGAGTTGATCAAAGGAATACAGCAAGTGTCTAGACTATCTATTTCTTATGACTATGCTATTGCATATAATTATAAATGGTAAATAGATAATCTAGCAATATTTTAGTTATTCTTATATAAATTACAAGGAATTTTATAAGTAATAATAATATCCTGTTGTAATTATTTCTAATGAAAAATTTAGGATACGTAGATTAAGTAAATATGATGGAGTATATGTTATCTCAGTTAAAGATAACTCATTGGCACAAAAAATTGGAGTTAAAGTAAGTCATATATAAAACTTCATAAAAACAAAGTTTTTTTTTCTGAATTTTTTTTTTAAATGAAATGTTCTTAACAGGTTGGTGATAAAGTGCTCAACATAAATGGAAGAGATTTTCAAAACATTAGTCATCAAGAAGTAACATTTTATTGTATATATATAAATATTATTTATAATATTATAATTTAAAATCTTTTTAGTTGTTCTATAATATTAAAGTTTTTTATCTTTTATTTAATCAAAAACTAAAAGGAACCCCTGTTTTTTTTTTTCTTTTTTCTTTTTTTAAATTTGTTATTAGGTGCCCCAAGGAGTCCTAGCGGTCTTGTCACAGAGCACCACGGAAGTGTATTTAACCAGAAAGTTCATGCCTCCTTCTTTATCGTGATGCAAAATATGTCCAAAGCTTGTTTTGAATCTGGATTATAAAGCGAGCGCTCTAACCACTGCGCCATGGCCGCGCAAAAAGAAATTTGTCAGACTTCTCTCCCGGTTCCAACAGTTGTTGGCGCATTTCTCCCAAAAAGCTTGACCAAAAAAACAAAATAATGAGTCATTTCTAAGGATACTTGTTGCAAAGTTTGAACATTTTTTCTCTTTAGATTAGTTTTGTAAATTTTTTCGACTGAGAAAATTGAAAAATTTTTGAAAAAAAAAAGAAATTCAAAATTGATTGACTGCCACCCTTCATTTCCAAATTTATCTAAATCCAATAGCACCAAACACATTAACTTACAAAAAACAAAAAATTCTCTGTGAGATAAAACTCAAAAAATCAATGTGAAACTTATGCAACAATCAATGTATTTGTTAACAATAACAATAATGTTAACTATATTATTGTTACCACCAATAAATTAAACTTCTTTGTGGTTAAAGTTGTTGGTAGTATTGGTTGTTGTTGTTTTGGTTTTTGTCAAAGACTAGTGTGGTTGTTTGATGTAGAGCTCATCAAGAACCTTTCAGATGTTGTGTTGAGCGCAGGATCAATATCAAGTATGATTCATATGAAAATATCAAGAGATGAGTTGAGTGCTTGATCGGTTGGTGTTGTGGTCAGTTGGAGATGTAGATTGACTAGTGACTATCTAATTTTGGTATTTTTTTTTTATTTTGTTGCTTTGTATTACAAACACTATTGTTGATGTTGGAGGTAAAGATGCATTTTGGTGTTTGCGTTTGGTGAACAGTTGCCATACTAAGTTTTTTTTAACTGGCATCAAATCAGGGTTAATGAATAGTAGGAGTAGTCTTTCAAGTAGTCAGTTTTTGTTTTATAGCTAATGACATAAATATCATTATAATAAGTTATAACACCAATACTCTCAAATGTAGCCATGCTAATATGTGTATAGATGAAGTAGAGATAGGTGTATCTTAATTAGGCGCTAATATGCCTCACGGTTAATAGATTTCACATACATAATCTTTCGTATCAATTCAAAATCACAAAGAATGTGATTGAACAACCACTTTAAAAAGATTTGTAACCAAAAAATGAATATGAGACATAACGATATTACAGACTATTTATGTGTACCGGTGTGATGGTGAAATGGGTCAGCTGGTTTTGTCTGGTTGTCTTGTTATGCTTTATTCAACTAATTTTTATTCATTTTTTCACTAATAAATTGGGTGAATAGAAAGCTAACATACAAAGTTTTTGCATTTGTAGGCTAGGACATCAGTGCCGGATGCAAGACCTACAGAGTTAATATAAACTACAGACTTCAATAGTTAAATGCACACAGTTGCAATACTCAAAAGTCTTCAATCTCAGACTACTAAAAAAGCAGGGGTTTTATGTGCTGGTGTTAAATGATGTGCTAGAAGTGAGATAAGTGCCAGCAACATAACCAGCAAGCACTTATGAACATTTTTAAGCTTTTGATAGAATGTGTGCGAGTGTCTATCATAGTCATTAGGCTTCAAAAATTGTAACCACATCCAGCAGTATGTTGTTTACATAGTGTTTTGTTGCAGCAGTGTATATAGAATGAACTTGTTATCATTTTAACACAGTTAAGCATATTTAGAACTTTACGTACATTTAATTTTGATATTACTTTTTGTTAATATAAGATATTTTCATTATATAATTTTAATTTTAGGCATTAGATATTATACAATCAGCACGAAATCTGAGCATTGTTTTAACTTTCAATGAGGTTAATATTTTTTAGTATTGATAATAGAATATTTACACAATTTTTATGAAACATAACTTATACATCAGTAAAATACAGTTTAAGCAATTGTTACATAAATAAGATACTAAAATAATAAAAATAAATATAAAAAAATAAATATATGATGTGTTAATAAATTGTTTTATTAGGATGTCAGGGAATACCTTCAGCAAATTCAAAAAAAAGGTAAAATATAAAAAAAACATCTGTTTATTTATCATGTAAAGTTGTAGTTAGGAAATTATATTCTTGGCTATAACATCTACATATATGGATATATAACATCTACATACATGGACATATAACATCTACATATAAGGACATATAACATCTACATATATGAACATATAACATCTACATTTATAGTCATTTTGTAAATTTAGGGAAAGAATAAAAAAACCAAACTTTTCTAAAAATAATTTGTGTTCTGTTAATTTACCTTTTTTAAGTATAATGAAACAAGCACCTGAAAAAGAATAAATTTATCTTTTTTGCATATTTTATTTAAGATTCTTTATTTGAAAAAAAAAGAGAATGGTTGAGTTGTTTCTTTTTTTTTTTACTGCTTGTTATATCCTAAGTGTATTTATTAGTTTTAGTTGTTTATAAAAACACTTGTAAACTTTTATTAGAGTCAAACAATGGTATTGAAAGTAACATAGAAGAAATTTTAAAAGAAAGTGAAGATGCAAAAAAAGATGAAACATCATATGTTGCAAGCCATCTTCATGATGAACAATCTTTTACAAAAGTAAATGATAATTTTAAACTTTTCTTTAATAAATAAGACTGCACATTGCATTTTCTTTAATAAATAAGACTGCACATTTAATAAATAAGACTGCACGTTCATGGTTTTGAAATATGGAAAAATGAAAAGAATAAAAAAATAATAATTACTTTAAAGTTTTTTTTTTTTTATTTCACAGGAAGAGAATATTGATACTGGAAGTAAAGGTAGGCTTTTATAGACAAAAAGAAATGCACAAATGTAATATTCAAAGAAACACACACACACAGGGTTTTTTTCATTATTCAAATGAAAACTAAAGTATACAAGTCTAAGATTTTAATTTAATTTTAAACCTGTCTATATGCGTCAAGAAACATAATTTTTGTATTATTTACAATTTAATAAAAACATGTGAACAAGCTACTTAAAACAAAAACAACTAAAAGATGTGCTTATAGAACTACCTTAAACACTTCTTTAGGTTTTGATACTTAAAGACGCTCAGGAACCTAAAACCTTTTACTATTTGCTGATTATTACTAAGTAAAGATTAATTAATTAAACGTTTTATCCACATATCAAGTTAAACACAAACTCACAAAAAACTTTCACTATTATGACAATTATTTTTATTATTTTTAACTATCGTAAGAGAATTATGTTTCAATTTTTAACATTGAACAAATTTTGTTTATTTGTAAACATTATTCACAAATGAATTTTGTAGATGATTATGAATACAAAATCAAACTTGAAGAAATAGAAAGAAAAAAAGAAACAGAAGAAGCAGAAAAACATAAGAACTCTTACTCAACCAGAGAAAGAGAAAAGTATGAAAAAATATACACAAAGTCTACCCAACAAAGTAACTCACCTAAAAATCTTACTGTGGCAGTTGTTCAAGAATCAGAGAATGAAAAGTTGAATGTAAAAAATAAATTGTCAAAAAAAAACAATCAACCTATTTCCTCATCAATTCTTCGTTCAAACAATACTAGTAACACAAACAAGACTGCTAAACATACTATCTTTGCTGAAAGGTAGTTAAAGTTGTTTGCGTTTATAAAAACTTTAAATTATAGATTTGTTAAACTATTATTAAGTTTATTGTTAAATTATGACATAAATTGTAATTATATAAAGATTGTAACATACATTATGCAAAATATATTATAATATTTTTGCATATTGTTTTTTTTTTAACTCGGCAGTTGTTTTTTTTTTTACTAGGTATAATAATTTCAACATATAGTAATAATTTCATTAATAATTTCATTTAATAAATTTATATTATATTTGATCTATTTTTCTGTTATTAAACTTATATACGTTGCTTTGTTTAGCTTTTTTTTCCATTTATCTCATTTTTGTTTTATTAAAAATTTTTGTTAATAATTTTTAGTGTCAATGTAGAGATAATAGAAGTAGAAAAGTTTGAAAATGAAGATGAAGATGATGAAGTTATTTTACCTGACTCTAGCAACTTTAACGTAAGCTTTTTATTATGTAGTTCAACAAAGGAAAAAAATTGATTTAAAAATTTAAGTTTCAAAGTTAAATAATAACGTTCTTTTAAAGTTAAAGTTTTTTCTTTCATTGCAAAGTTTTTTATCTCCTTTATCTTCTATAGTAGCATCAGAAAAATTTAGTTTTACAGAAGTCGTTTTTAAAATCATTCAGTATTTATTGTTGGATTTCTTTTTATAATTTTAGTATTCAAAGGACTTCTTAGATGGTCGAGAGGTGCACTATGTATCCATACCAAAGGTAAAAGGAAGTAATCTATATACTCAAGTATACATATATAATACATAAAAAAATGGTTTTAGTTTTTTTTTCTGTTCTATGTGCAATGAGAAGCTGGAAAAGTGTATGCTTACATATTTTAAGGCAAGGAATTCTATAAAATAACTTAAAACATTTAAAAAATAAAAATTACACCTGAAATTCAAACCTTCATCACAATTTTTTGGGGCGAATTTAATTCCAAAAATGCTGAGGTAGCTAATTTTTTCAGTTGCCCTAAATATTTTAGTTAAAGTGATTACAAAAAATTCTATAGTTGTCTTTTCTGAGAGAGAAAAAGAAAACATGGCAATATTACTTAAATTTATTACTTATAAAACAGAATTAAAAAAAATCAAGGAAAAAATAATATAAAACATAATATAATACATAATATAATACATAAAATAATACATGGAAGTGGACATTTATTGGTTTTTGGAAAATTTCCCACTCACCATGAGCTAATTAAGACCACCTTTCCTCCTTTATTAAATTTTACTTTTTTTGAACAATGAAACTCTTAAAACTCAAAAAAAGCTTTTCAGTCATTAAAGACCTAATCTTAAAAAATTGAAAAGTATAAGCTTACTTATAGAAATAAAAATAAAAATTCCTACCCACCTGTTTATTAAGACCCTCCACCCTCTATTTATTAGTTCTGGACAAATATTCTCACCCCTCTTTTTATTCCCAAACCACCTTGTATTAAGTACCTTAAAAGCTTGACAATAATGTAACTGAAACAGTTTTGACCATATCAAGTTGATCCTTTCGTTGTTGTTGGCTGACATCTATGACGTCTGACTAATAGCTGACGTCTATTTCTGTTTTATCGATAGTCTTAAAATCTTAAAAGTCTTTTAAAAATTTCAACAAGTTGATTTATAAAAAATGCAGATGCGTTACTAAATTTTTTTTTTCCGAAGTTGTCTTGAATAATTTAGACTGAGTTATCACAAAGAATAAATAAAAATTTCAGGTGTACTTAAATTTATAACTTTTTCATATTTATTAAGCGTTTTCATATTTATCAAACTTTATTTATTTTTTTATTTTATTTTAGTTAAGTTAAATATAATTTTTAGTTTTGGTCACAACAATAAACTTAAGTAAATTCAGATTTCATTAATTTAATATTTATAAAATTATTATTTCTTGTACATGTTTAGTACCCTTTTTCTCAATGGCATATAAAGAATTAGTTTATCTAAGATAAATTTGTTTAACATTCTTTCAAAAATGACATTGCTACCTGCTAGCTAAATATGATTTTGGGCAAGTGGTATTTTATAGTACTATGAATGCATCTAAGTTCACTTGCTAAGTAACTTGTAGTTGCAAAGCTGCATGTAGGTAAACTGCTATGTTCTGCTTTAAGTACTCTAAGTGCAATTCTATTGGGTAGATAAAAAAACGGAAAAAAGTATATATAAAACATAAATATATACATGTGTATATAATAATGATATTAAAAATATATTGCTATATTGGTGTATATATAGACATAAAATTATATAATGAAATGGAAAAAAAACAGAACCAATAATTTTCATAGTTTCTAACTCAACATCTATTGAAGTAAATTGAGATATACCTGATGAATAGAAACTTGAAAGTTCTTAAAAAATTAGTCTTTAATTGTTTTCTATTTGTTATGATATTATAGTTGAAGGAGCTGTGACTATTATGGTTTTAGGTTTTGTAAGTTAAAAGTGTTTCTGGTGGTTTCAGAATCGCTTTTAACTTATATAATAGTGTTATACGTTCTACATGTTAGAACCTATTTTTCTTTGTAATATATTTGCAAAATTTTAAATGATTTGTACCAATCGTTATTTTTATAGTTGGTGATTGATTAAAAATGTTTTTTTACTAGTCATTTATGGTTAAAAAAATAATGTATCAGTTGCTACAAGTTCACCTAAAATGTGTACAAAGAAGATTGGTTATAAGTTTTTTTAACTGATCAATTTTGTAAAGTATTATAAAAATTTAACTACTTTATTTTTAAATATTTAAACAATATAATTTCAAATTTATGTCAGGGAAGTCCCATGGGTATGGAATTAACACAAAAAGGAAACATAGTGGCTGTAAAATCTGTAGATGCTACTGGTGCAGTAGGAACACATGGTAAGTTATTGTTAGGTACTAAATAATGAAAAGATTTAATAAAAAATTTATTGCAAAAGAGTTTATCAATAAATTTTTTTTGTAAAAACATTTTATAACCCATGTTATAAAATATTTTTTCAAAATAAATTATGTAACTAAAAATGAGCATTATACTTTAAAAAAACTTTAGAAATCTTTCAATAACAACACTGGGAGTTTTCATTTCTAGATTTCTGATATGCGCTATGTTCTTGTAAAATTTATTATTTTTGTAAAGTTAGATGTTTTTCACAATTTATATAAAACATTTTATTTTATGATTGAAATTAGCATAATTAATTAGCGTAATAGCATAATTAGCATAATTAATTAGCGTAATAGCATAACACATATAATATTCTCAAGACCAATCTTAAGCGCTGTAAATTAGTGACGTTTATGCTTAACAAAAAGTTCATTATTTGTTATACAGCTTTATTTTATTATTTTTTATTGATTTTGTTTATTGTTTGCATGATCACGTTTACCATTTTTTATTGATCTTGTTTTTAGAATTCCTTTTTCTTTGATTATTATTTTAGTTAAGTAACGCCTAAAAATTTTAGTATAACTTGATTAGTTTGGTTTTTTTGTTGTTGTTTAATTTAAATACAATACAAATTCAAATTTAATGTTTGTTTAATTTGATTATACTTTTAAATTGTTAAAAATAGCAAAAAATTGTCATAATAAGATGAGCTTATTATTATTAAGTTTTTTATTGCTTTTAATAATAGTCAACTTCTAATGTAATAATTAATACTATAAAATATGAAAGGAGAACATGTGGTAAAGTTATATAGTTGAAGTAAAATCTTAATTGCTTTCTTTTAATATAAATATTCAATATTTATAATTTCAAAAAGATAGTTATATTTGTTTAGTTTATATTTGGTAATAGATAGTTATATTTGTTTTATTTAGTTAAATTACAATTATTTTTTCATTTAAAATCTAATTTCATTTTTTTTTTTAGTTTGTCAAACACATCCTAACCCCCCATTGTGTAACCAATTTCTTTTTTTTCTCCCAACATTGATTCAGTCCTAAAACATTACAACTTATCTCGGAAAAAGCAACCCATTTGAAAAAACCTTTAATCTCATTTTTTTTATTTCTAGTAGTAGCATAAATCTAATTTTATAATGCCCAATTTGCATTGTTTGGTATTTTTTACTTATTAGAAATTTATAATCAATAAATAAATTACTTTGTAATTTTTAGATGAATAAAAATCACTGACAAAAATTTAAACAATATTTATCAGTCCCAGTCGAATTTCTGACATTGATTAATAATTTTTGACAAATTTTGTAACATTTAAGGTGGTAGTACAGTAATTAAAATTGAAAAAATCATTTTTTTCCATGTTTCATGTTTATAATATTTATAAAATCATAGTAGATTCCTAATTTTTTCTTGGATTGCAAAAAAACATTGGTATCTACATCTAATCTTTGTTTAAAATGATTCAGTGTCAATTTTTATCCATAGCAGCGCTTTGACTTTTCTGTTGCTACGGATTTTTGAAATAAAATTATGCCACAAAATGCAATAAAAACACCTTAATACTAACTGTATAAACAAAGTATTGTTATTCACTTATTGCTTCTTGTTTATTGGCTTGATTTATGCACGTTCATTATGCACAAGACAGCTATTTCTACTACTTTATGTTCTTGTCAGGTTTATTTGTAACTCTATACCTTTGTTTGTTTGTTTTTTATTATCTTTTTTAAATAAAAGTGCCATGGATGGATTAAAAAGATAAATGTGTTCAAAAAAGCTTTACCAAATGTAAAATCAAAGTTTCATAAAAACAGTGATAAAAGGGTTTTCATTTTTATAGAAACCACTGCTATACTTTCAGACAAAGTTCAATTGAAAATATTTCAGGCTAATCCTCATTTAATAAGTTGTCAAACAAAGAAGTTGTGCAGGATTTTTTAAATATAAATGAAGATTTTAACTTCATTATGGGATTTTTTTTATCTTAAAACATAGTTATGCTTCTTCAATGTCTAGAATGTGAAGATTTTGTAAATTTACAATTTAATTCATCTAAAAATGTAAGCCTAGAAAAAATGTAAGCCTAGGAACTAGGTACTAGGTATCGGACTATGTTTGTTAATGAGATACTGTTTATTTATTTATTTACTACTATTGCAAAGAAGAACTCTTATGCAAAACATAGTTAAAGATCTAATTAGAGGTGTTTTTGACAACTTGACATAAACCCTAATGTTGTAGCATTTTGTGAATAGGGTAAAAGGTTGTCATCAGTTTTGTATTTGCATCAAAAGGTTAATGGTACAAATTCTAGTCTAAAAAATTGGCTGGAAAAATTACAAATGTTTAAATTTTTTTAATCTTGCTGTTGTGTTCATCAAATCAAACCAATACTTATAGTCAACTCTATTAAGAACTTTCCTGAAAAATGTTTACATGGAAAAAAACAGAGTTCCAATGAATCGCTAAATCAAATTGTATGAGATGCCTGTACATGTTGAAAGAACTCCTCTAAGTATTGAAGTAGGATCAGCTGTTCTAAATTCTATGATGGACATTAATCTTTAAATAAGTTTTTAATGAGTTTGGAATGACATTCAGTAAAAATGGGCAAAATTGTAGTTTATGTAAGGACACCAAACAAGTCTTGGAAGCTGAAAAGCAATGTAACAATAAAACAAAATCGAGAAAAAAAAAAGGTTATTAGAAATACAAAATAGTTTTTGTGATCAAAATAAAACATTAGTTGGTGTAATGTAGAAAAGTGAAGAATTTTGAACTTAGTTGGTTTCTTTTTTTTACTTGCATTTTTTCTCAAAATCATGTTTTTTGAGCTGGCGACAGAGATATTTTCAAAACTAATTATCAAATTGATTTGAAATTTGGCCCAATTTTTTATTGTATTAGTATTTACAACATACACTACAATAATCATTACTGCTTCTCTCATTTTGTATTTTTTTAAGATTTTGTGCCCTTAAATTACCCCATTTTTGCCCAAACTTTCAAAAATACTAATATTTTATCAAGTTTTGCACCTAACTTGAATCTTTTAGTCCACGTCACAATGACACATAACATATTACCAGCCAAAATTTTAATCATAAATTATGAACAGTTGCTGAAATAACTTTTTTTCCTTTACCCCATTTTTTGATCTTTATTGATTGATAAATAAAATAGTATATTATACAATTTTAGAAAAAAGAAACATTTTTAAGAATTGAATACAAATTTTTTTTTTAATACTGTACTACCACCTCAAACAGACAAAAATTTCTATTCACTCGCTTTGTATTAAACACCTGAGAGTAAAGTCAAGAGTCAGTTAAACTTATAAAATATTACCAGAAGATTAATTATTAAAATTCGATTAAGAAGTTCAAATGCAATATTTTCATTTAATATCATTTGTTTTAACTTTACTTATTTTAAATATATTTAAGGTTTTATCCAGCCTGGCGATTGGTTGCTAAATGCTGAAGGAGATGATCTGATAGGAAAAGATGTTACAGAAGTAAACAAGATATTATCTGGTATTTTGCAAAGGTGGTCGGTAAGCTTTGTTCTTATTGATTTTACAATGTATTGAAATATAAACTGTTTGTAACTATTTAATAACTTGATGAATTTAGGATTTAACAAATAATTGATTAAACTGTTTAATTTATTTAATTATTTAACTGATAAAAGTTTAAAAAATGTGCATCTGTCAATAAAAGTGGTTACTTAAAATAAATCTTATTTTGTTTTTATAATGGTGCAAAGTTTGAATCACCATATGTTTTATTAACAGCAACTATTATTATACATTTATTATTATGTGTCTTTATAATAACAAAAAGCTAATCAAAAAATTATTATCTAAATACATCTGTTTGATGAAATAAATCTACAAACGAAAACTAACATTTATATGATATTTGTTTTTGGAATGGTTTAAAGTATATATTTGAAAGTCAAATATAAAATCTACAAATAAAAAAGCAAATTAAAATACCATTAACAATACTAAAAATAAAAAATAAAATTGAAATACAAACAAAACGTATTTATTTCAAAAAGTTTTTGTCTTGGCTTTTGGAAAATGATTAGAAGCAGAATTTCCAGTAATGGAACTACTTAATAATCATTATTAAGAATACACACCACCAACAACTACAACAACTACAACAACAAAATAATTATTTTTCTTTTCAAAATTTACATATAATCATATAACAATAATAAGAATATTATCTATAATAATACAAACAATATAGTTATAATAAAATATAATTGATAAGAATAAATATAAATAATTATTTGAAAAGAAAGGTGTCACTCAAACAGAAGCCTGATCAAAGGAGTGACACCAAATAATTATAACAATAATAGTTAAATAATAATAGTATTATCAATAATAATACAAATAATATGATGGCATGAGTGTCACTCATGATTAACATGAGTGACACCATTAATTATAACAATAAGTATAAAAATAAAATAATAATAAAAATAACAAATATGATCCGAAAATTGCTAAGAAAGACCAAAAACAAAAAATTTACAACAAAGAATACAAACAAAACATTACAAAACATACAAACAAAATTACAGTTGATTAAATTATTACGTTTTGTACTTTTGCTACAAAACATAATAATGTAATCAACCGTAATTTTAATCAGCCGTAATTTATTAAAATAATTATGTAAAACCCTATCTCTAAAACAAAAACTGAATATAGGCCAGCCCAGCAGTTATGTCATTGCCCTTGCAATGATGTAAACACAGTTATAGAAAAAAAAATGATTTAATGAATATAACACCTATAATATTTATAATTATAAGTAATATTTTTAGAAGTGTATTACACAATTAATTATTAAATTAATTATAAAAATAAAAACAAATAAGAATTAAAATGGTTTATTAAGTATAAATTTAAAATATTCAAAAATTAAAATAATGCATTTAAATACAAATAGCAATGTCAATAATATTAACAATAACTATAGCAATAATAATTATTAATAATAACAATAAATATTAATATTATCAATTTTTAACAATAATTATAGCAATAATGATTAATAAACTAAGCGACAATCATTACAATAATAAAGTAATAATATAATATTAAAAAGTTAATATTCATTTTCAAACAAAAATTTAATATATAAGTACAGACAGGGGAAGTTACAAACAGTATATACTGACAAAATGTAACAGCATACCACACAATACAAACATTTATTGTAAAAAAATAATTTATAATATTAAAAGAAACTAAACTTTTACACACAAGAATATGACATTATAATGACATATATGAGAGTATAATAAAAATAAATGAGAATATAAACATCGCACAAGACAATATAATCAATGCACAAAAATACATGACATGACAATTCAAAACAAAGAAACACAAGATATAACAATACTAAACATAAAAATACTAAACAAAGATACAACAACCAATTAAAATATCGATAAACTAACAATTATAATAAATAATAATAATGGTAATTGAACAATAACGCAAAAGCCAAACAAACAGTAAACTATAACAAAAACAAAAATAATGAAGAAAGTTATAAAATCAAACTAAAAGAGTAAAAAAACTAATCAAACTTAAGTAAAATATAATTCAAAAAATATAATAACAATAATAAAAATAAATATTTAATATAATATATCAAAATAAGTAATTTAATAATAAATTGTAGTAATATAAATAAAAAAAAAGTGTAATATTTAATATAAGATAAAAAATAATATATACAAATAAAAACTATAAAAATTATCTACTCTTTTAATAAACTGATCTTTTCTTCTTACCTTCTTATTAACTTATTCTTTTTTTTAACTATTACTATTTTTTTCTTTTCTTTTTCTTTTTTGTTAAGTAAAAATCGATAATTAATCAAATAATCAACAAGTAAAAAAAAATAAGCAACAAGTCACTTTTGTTACGGAGATACCAGTAACTGTTACTGGAAAGCCAATTAATGGGAAGCCAATTTTTTTATGGGGAAGCCAGTTGTTTTATAATATTAAAATTTCAAATTAAATTGCATATGGTAGTCATTAATAAAAAAACATTTTTTATATTAAAAAATCAATTGTTAAGTTTGAAATAAAGATTATCAAAAATTTGATGTTGACCATTATTTATTGCCAGTATGTTTCTAACAAGAAATCAGCAAATTTTTTGTACAAAAGGTAAATTAATTAAACTTTGATTGAGCTAGTTAAACCAATGAACAGGAACCTTTTTAACAGTAGACCATCTGTTAGAACTTGGTTAACTGTAGATTACCTGTTAGAACTTGGTCATCAATGTAGTTATTATTTAGTGCACATACCATCAATCAGGTTTTATTATGAATTACAGCTTTAAAATGTTTTTAGCAATTTATATGTTACTGCTATAGCTGTAACTAAATTAAAAGTTAAAGCTACTCTGTTGATGTATTAAATATTAAATAAAATGAAAAAAATGTAACTAAATTAAAGCTTAATTTAAGATTATTATAAAAAGTTATAAAAACGAAATTTAATTTGTTAAAATGCTGTAATAAATGCTTATAAAAATGGTTAAATAAGTGATAAATGCTGATGAAAATAGTTCTTGGTTAGCATGGATCCTGATAATGCCAACCTAGCTGACTCAAGAACACCATTTATATGGTGTGATAGCATACACATCAAGCTACCCTGTGATGTAAATTTTAAAATCTTTTAATTTTGTCCGCAGAAAATAACTTATTTTGAATGTTCAAATTAAGTGAAATTTTAACTTTATAGTGCAACAATAAAAACAACTGTAGAATGAGAAACATTACATATAATTTGATAATAATTAAAGCGTATGTAGTATATGGCCACACTAAACTCTGGATAAAATTTCAGTCAGATTGATTTACTAGTTAAGGATTTATTGCAGTTTTAATTTATATTTTGTTAGTATTTTGCTACTTAGAACATTACCAATTACTGTCATATTCGATCACTATTTTTAAAATAAACATTACATGAGTGTTCTACTATGTAATGTCAACAATTTTTTTATAATTATCTCATTGCTATGTGTACCGTTTTCATTCTATAGACAAAAATATTGATTTGCTATTTGAAGTGTAGTTTGAATAACGCACTTTAGATATATCAATAGGTAGTTCAATGCAACAAAAGATTGCAAAATTTCTTATTAAAAAAACAACAAAAAGCTATTTTATCTTCATTTTGGTTGCTAGTCTTGCTATCAGCTATACTTTCTGTTTAAATTTGAAAAGATCTATGTCAAAAATGCAAATGGGCACCACTTACAATAGCATAAAGTTTGCTATGTTTTTTTTAATTTAATGCTAATCTAAATCTATTGTATAACTCTACAATTTTGCTTGAGTTTATATAAATGTTCTTTTTAATATAATAATATAAAAACTTTTAATAATACCTATTATATATTTTATTTTATATTACAGTATTGCCTTTATATATTTCAATATTCTGCATATAATTCAGAACATCAGATCAATATAAAATTGTTTTAACTGGAAAGAATTATACATGGGAAATTTTATTTTAGATAATAATTTTAAAGAAAGTTTTGATCATTAATCTTTTAAGAATAAATTGGTAAACCAGGGGGAGTTGATTAACAACCAGTGAATTAAGGTTAAATTGGTAAACCAGGGGGAGTTGATTAACAACTAGTGAATTAAGGAATGGACTGTAAATTGAGAAACAACTAGTGAATTCAGTGACAATAAAAACTAAAAAATAAAAAACTAAAGTTATTTACTAAATTGAAAGTGTTAATTTTTAGCTTCTGAAAATTTTTTAACTAAACTGAACTAACTGAACTGTTAATTTTTAGCTTCTGAAAATTTTCAAATTGACTTTTTATTTGAAAACAGAAAATATAATGATATATGTAAATAATAAAAATTGTCAAAGATTGTGTAATGTAACCATTAATCTAATGTGTAATGTAACAATTTTCCTCAATACTTTTTTTTGATTGGTTAACAATTGAATTGTAACAAATAATCTCAACTACTATTTTCTGATTGGTTAATATGCTTATATGATAATATAAAACTTGTTAAATTTTTGACAGAATAAGTTTATGTTTTAGTTTTAGTTTATTGAATTAGTTTATTGAATGTTACTAAATAGTAGCAAACAAATAAAAAACTAAATATTAAAATTTTGTTGGCAAAAAGCCTTACACTGCAAAGTGGTTGAGGACCAAGCCATGGTCCTAAACCATGTACCCAGAACTATGCCATAAATTCAAAAAAAATTATTGTCTTATATTAAAAGCGATAAAAATTGAATTATATATGTTATGAGAAGACCAAATTAGAATTATGGTTATAACCATCTCTCAACTCTATAACTTCAAAACACGAACCTTGACAAACAAGGCCACTGCGCAGAGAAATGAGTTGAGCACGGTACTACCAGGGACGTGTTGGGGATCTACAGCCTCTTCGTCTGTAGTGGCCTTCTTGGCCTTGAGAAGGTGAATTTTAAAAATAAAATAAAACTTTGTACAGTCCAGGAGTCTCACTTTTGAGGCAAAAAGGCCTCAAAAGTGAGACTCCTGGACTGTACAAAGGAAAAGTTTACAATTTAAAATTAAATAAACAATTCTGTAATGAAAAAAAAGGCGATTTGTAACTTTTTATTTCTAGGTTTTGCTCTCTTTTATTTTATATAACTTTTTTTAAAGTTTTATACATAATAATTATTTCATTAGTTTAATTAAGTTTAATTAGGTTGTTTTTAATTAATTTAATTAAATTAAATACATTTTGGAAAAGTTCTTTAAATTAAAGCATCTGTTTATGGTGGATAAACTTTTTCCTTATTAAATAGATTCTTTTTTTTTACTACAATATTTCTAATTGACAATATTGATCAATGAAAGTGTATTGATTAATAAAAGTATTTTTTTTTATTTTTACAGTATTGAAATATTGTGAAAATAAAAAAATTTATTAATAAGGGAAATGTTTATTAACAGGTGTTTTATTTTAATCCATAGATTTATTTTATGATGGAAGGAAGAGAAAACAATTTTTCAAATTATATATATATATAAATATATATATATATATATATATATATATATATATATATATATATATATATATATATATATATATATATATATATATATATATATATATATATATATATATATATATATATATATATATATATATATATATATATATATATATATATATATATATATATATAGTATTATTCTTTAATGTAATGATATATACAATGTTATGCTTTAATCTCATGATATATACTATGCTATGCTTTAAATTAATGATATATACAATAATTTGCTTGAATCTAATGATATATAGTCATTATACTACCATATTCTAAGTAAGGTCAAAAAAATATAATTTTTAAACCAGGTTGTCTCTCAAACTTCTTATTTTTTAAAAACTCTCAAAGTTTCAAAAAAAGTAAAATATGTTTATGTTATGTTTATGCTTGCCTTGTTTTTATAAGATTCTGATAAATCCTTTGCTCAGAAGTAAGAATAACACAAAAATTCAATTTAGTAATTTTATCCAATCAAATTTATCATTGTTAAGAAATCACAAATGTAATAAAAATTTAATGCCAATAAAAATCTATTAAAAAAGAATAATAATAATGAAACAAACTAAAATGTTGCACTAGATATGTCTCTCCTTCCTCAAGTTCTTTTTTTTTATTATTAAGACCTTTTCTGATGGCAAGAAGCTTTAACAGTTTTTTTAAAGTTTTAAGCTTTTAACAAATGCCAATTGTCTAAACCTCGCTTATTGAAAATTAATAGCAGTGTTTGGACGCCATTATATGCAATAACAGTAGACACAACTGCAGTTTTAAAAAACATCATTTCTAATCTATATCTTTTTTGGGTATACATTATATGTTCTAGCTTTTTTAACTGAAGAATATAAGAAATAATAAAACAACTTTCTTTTAAGTTTAGAACGGTTTTAGAGGCATTAATGTTTAACTTATAAACTAAGTAAAGGTAGGACAAAAAAAAGAAGCTTTTTAGGTGAAAACGTGATGTTAAGATCAGGTTTCAATCCTAAGATATTAAAAAAAAGAAGCATTGCCAAAGCAGTAGCAATACTTTTTTTAACTTTCTTTTAATTAAACTAAGTTTTAATGAAAAAAGAATGAAAACAAGTTATAAATGGTGCACTTTTCTAACCACAAAAACAAGCTAAGGTAATGTAAAAAATATTACAATTTAAGGCTGATAAGTGTGTTCAACTAATTTGATTCCTCCATATTTAAGATGTTAATTTGCACTTGAGTATCTAATTAATTTTACTAATTTAAAAAATTTAAATAATATACTATATACAAACAGAATAATAAAATGATTATAAATATATATATATATATATATATATATATATATATATATATATATATATATATATATATATATATATATTAAGAAGTTTGAAATGTTGCAATTACTAAAAAAAATGTTCATTTTAATTGTAACAAAATTTTAATGTTTTTTGGACATATTATTTAGTAGCATTGTTACTAAATGTAATGCCAATATTATCATTCTTAAAGTTTATATATAAGAAGTTTTTTAATATTTTAGAAACATATCGAATTGATTGTTGCTTGTTCTCCTGGACGCGAGCCACCTAAATTACCAACTAAAAAAGATAGTTCTGAGCTTTTTCGGGATGCTAGTGTTTTATATGCTTCGATACCTAAAGAACAGACTATTTCTTCAGACGATTCTACTTTAGAGATCTCATCATGCAGCGAGTTATCTATGGATTTTATTTTACCTAAAATGCGCAAAGTAAAACGAGATGAAGGAAAAGTTCAACTAGATGATGAGTTGAAAGAGGGTGACAAAGTACTAACAAATGAAAAAATACATTCGAACCATAATGCTTATCAATCAGATAACCTACTATATTCCAATCATAAAGAACAGGCAAATTATAAAACTAAATCAGAAGAAACTATTGTAAGAAAAATCAGACAGAATGAAATGGTTCAACCAGACAATGAAATCTCTAACTACAGCATTAGTAAAAAGCATAAGAAATCTGTTGTAAAAACAGAGCAATTACCTATTGGATCTCTAAATGAAAAAATAGTTTCATTTGAAATTAAAGGTTCTCATTCTGAAAATATTGAAATGAAACAACAAAACATGTCACCGTCTAAAAAAAGTTTTTCAACTAGCAGTAAAATAGAACAAATGGAGAAACCATGTTTCATTATCGATAATCAAAAATACTCTTCAGAAAATCAAAAGTCTGATACTAAAGCTCTGCGATCATTTGAAAACAAAGCACTAAATGAAGAAACGGAGTTACCTGAAGAAAATGTCCTCAGACGCTCTCCTGTTAAGAATGTTGAAACAGTAAAGCAAAAAACTTTATCCAAAAAAAGATTGTTTTCCAAAAATAATGAAAAATCAGATCTAGAAAAACTTGATTCACTTCAATCTCCAAATTCTCTTTATTCTTCAGATGAACCCTCTCCTAATAAGTCACTTAAACAACAAGAAGAAAAAATATTTCCTGAAAAAAAATTATCTACCAGAAAAAGAAGTACTTCTGAAAAGAAAAAATTTTCTATCAAAAGCTCTAAGAACAAAGAAGAAAAAGCTGTTAAAAAGAAAATTTTGTTTAATACCAAAAAAAATAGTTTGTCTATAAAAAATAGTGCTGCTAATGACAATGTTGTTGAAAATATCATTAATAATCAACTTGTTTCACCGGAAAAAAAAAATTTTTCAGATAATGCAACTGCTGATTTCGCACACTTTTCTGAAACAAATTCTTCTGTTTTAAAAAATGTCTCAGAAATTTCAGAAAATAAAGATTTTTTAGTTGTCTTAGAGAATAAAACAGCATCTTCAGTTCAGAATCGTGCCTCCCACAAAGAGAATATCGACGAGCAAGAAAATTTCACTGATTCCATTCAAAAAACGGACTGTTCAATTAAAAACACACCCTTTCAAGAAAAAAATGAAGAGCCTTTAAAAAATTCCAACTCTCCAATAAAAGATGATCCCTTAATAAAAAGCGCAAATATTTCAAAAAAAAAAGTAGAATCCCCTTTTTTTGAATTTGAAAAACAAGTAACTCCAAATGAAAAAAAGCTTTTTCACACAAGCAAAACTGATTTATCTGCAATCTCTCAAACAAAACAGATAAAAGAGAAAAATGATTTTTCCAGCGCCAAGCAAAAAGTATTTGCTGAGGTTGGGGTTCAAACAGAATTAGAGCGTACTAGTAGTGTACATGCAAACGATGGCTCAGGTAGTAGTGTACTTGCAAACGATGGCCCACATAACGATGGCCTAGGTAGTAGTGTCTTTTCAAGTAGTAGCGTACTTGTTGAAAATAAACTCATTTCACACAAATATACGCTTTTTTCATATAATAAAAATGAAGAGGAAAAAATAAAAAGTATGCGCAAAACCAATTTAAACAAATTACAAAAAAATAATAGCGTACCACTAAATGATGTTTTTAACGAAAACGAAAGACAAGCATTGACAGATTTGTCATTACAAAATTTTTGCTCCAATTGTCTTACTCTTAAAACATTTGACAATAAAACAGAACATGCTAATAATAATGTCATATATTCATCTGAAAACAAGGCCGAGGGGGCCATGGCTATATCTTTTTCAACTTCATCAATGTCTGATAAAAATTTTATAACTTCTTCAACATCGTCAATAACTAACATACCATCAAAACATATTGTTTCTTCACCTAAAAATTTGACACCCATTGTTTCTATTGCTACACCTAAAAGCTCACCTTATATAAGAAATAAGACTAGAGTTCAAATGTCAAATAATGTTTCTATAAGTAAAGAATTCAGAGACAAAAAATTTAAAAACACCTTAAATATCGAAAACAAACACTTATTTGACTCCTACAACATTAAATCGTCTAATTTAAATTTCTCGTCATTAACTAAATACTCTCCTCGAATACCAGAAAAAGATGATTCCTCTATATTGGTGGGTAGTAATTATTTGAATGAAAGTTCAAACCTTTTGATGGAGACGGTTGAGAAAAATATTCAACCAGAAACAGAGATTTCAAATATTAAAATTTCAACAGAAGAAAAAAGAAACAATATCTTTAATGAGTCAAAAAAAAACGATAGCTTCAACGAGTCAAATTTTTATGGAAATAATGAAGTGATAAGGTTCTTAGAAAATAAGAAGCCAAGTGTTCAACCTTTACTAATCAAAAATACTTTTACCAAAAAGATTTTTACAAGTTCAAAAAATCCGATCTATAAATTTAGCAACAGTAAAAACGAAATTGAAAAAGTAGAAGAACAAATCAACTTTAATCAAAATCTTCTTGAAGATAAATCTCTTGACGGATTTAAAGCATCATTCAATGGAAAAGTTCCGAAAGCATTTTTAGGTAACAAAGCTGACATACTTTCTTTCTTAAATACAAAAATTGATGTTTCTAAAAATGACTTTAAGACGTTCTCCGTTGCAGAGATTAATAAAAATTTCAGAAAAGAAAATATATTAGATGTGAAAGAACCTCTATATATTGATGAAAAAAAACCGGAAGCTGAGACTGTTTTGAAAAAAGAAAAAACTGTTTGTTTTGATGGTTTTACTTCCGACCCGAAAAAAGACTTATTATTAGTATCACCATCATCCAACCTTATCAATAAACATAATAAAAAGGTAATTTTTTTTAAACCTTATTTCTTTTGTTTGTTTTCTTAAAAAGAATTCTTTTGTTTAATTTTCTTTCATAGTCTTGCTTTTCTTAATGAAAATGCCGAATCTGGTCCTTAAAATATTTGTATCATTAGAAACAAAAAAAGTTTTATTTGCTGAATGTTTAATTGAATTTTAAGTAAATCAGAATGATGCTTTCTTATGATCATACTTTTATAAATATTTTTTTTATTAACATCTCTAAACATAAAGGGATTAAAAATCTTACAAAATGTTTAATATTGTTTATATCTAAAGCTGTGACTTAAAATATATGTTCTAATATTTATAAAAAAAATTGTTTTTGTACTCTACTTATTTATCTTGAAAAATTTTATTATTTTTGTTAATTCTAAAAAACATTATACTTTAGCATAAATAAATAAAGAAGTTACTGTATAAAACATGACACGTGTCCATATATTGAGAATCCAATTCTTGTAGGTATCTTCGAACTGTGTTCGAGCAATAACATTTAAACTAGGAGGCTGATGAGTGAGCTTAATACACAGGAGAGGGATATTTATTAATTTTCGGAAAACTTTCTTTCCCATTCCGAGCTTTTAAAGACCAACTCCCCACCCCACCCGCTTCCTTCCGGTTTAATTATTTTTATCTCAAAACTAAAAAAGAAAAGTCAGTGTAAACCGGCTTTAAAATTAGAAAATATATATGTTATTGGTCATATA